AGATGTGCTGAAATATGGGAATCTGATGTAAAGTATTCAGTCTCATTCAGATGTTAGTGTTCCAGACCTGATTTAGTCTTAGAGTAGAATGAGTATTCCATATCAGATTCCAATATTTTAGTAAAATCCGAGTACTACATAATATGTGAAGTTGCCGAATGTGCCCAGTCTTATTTGGGGAAGTATGTAGGGGACATAAAGTAATTACTACTATATGGGCTTCCTACATAGTATATACTGAGTGTTCAGAATAATAAGGCGATACTGCATCTAGATCGGGATTGTCAGTATGCCTACTTTGAGGGAGGATTAGTCGGAACCGGTATGGTTCTCTCATGAATCAACAGTCATAAAAGATCTGCCATCACTCTGCTTATATATAGACATTTTCTTGCAATGGTAGTTGCTTGACAAATCCAATCATCCCGCTACACCCATCTTCCTGCTGCTCTCATCAGCCTGCCATGTCGATTCCCTACTAACAATACCCCTCTGTTATATTTATTGCCCTGTCAAGATTGAAAGTTCTCGTCTTGATGTGGAGATTTGTGGTTTCTCCATGCCTGTCCTGCCACTACCGTCTCTCAAAGCCCACTATGATTTTTTACCCTCTCCTCATCGTCTCTTTTTGAAAAAGGGGGCAGGGTACCGTGATTCTAGAATGCAGAAGAGATGTGCAGCTGGTTTAAAGAAGCTATCCTGCTCGACATAATCTCATCTGTGGCCATTCCAAGCTCAAGGTCACCAGGTTTTCGGGTCGTCGGACATCGAATTGACGGTATCGAGAAACATACTTCCCCTCATATAACTATCACTTATCTTCCACAAATACTCGGGCATGGTTGCCGGAAAAGATTGGGGAAAGATTGTCGACATGAATATTAATGATTTCCGGTTACTACCGTGAGAATAGTCCGCAATTTGCCAGTTAGCATGTGTATCTTTGAGGTCTTTGGGCACAATACCATGCGAAACCTGACCTGTCAGGGTTCTTGATCGAGGAACTCTTCAGAATCCATTGGCTTCTCACGATCTTATCGTGTATGGGTCCTGATCTAGGCATAGGAGTTAAATGCGCCACACGGTGTGTGCGTGGTAGATTAGAGTTATTGTTAAGATCTGTATGAGGCAGCCATCTCGTGGATGTGTTTGATAGTCGAAGCCTCAATATCCTGCTTGCTTTCAAGCTCATGGGAGGGTCTCATCTATGAGGTTGGCATTCTGAGATCCTGTATCTGCGCGTTCCACCGTTATGTTTCAGAATATCCAGTCCGATTTGATCCAGTCTGATAATCGCCGGCAAGATAACTTATTGCATAGATGTGGAACGAATGGGTAGAATCGAACTCGCCGCATTTCTTCATCAATATGCCACATCGATTTGGTAGAGGCTTGCGGAGAGAATGAGGTTCTGCAAAGCGGCGAAGGAACCTTCTAGGTTGTATTGAAATCGTGCGACAAGGGTAATCGGTGGCAACTCATCATTCGTAGCTGGTCAGCTGCTGGAATGAGGCATACAGTAAGCAATTTTCATCAGCTACTTGTTTGGAGATCGGAGCAATGTGTAGGTTAGTTGACTTTGAAAGACAAGGATACCATTTTAATGGCGTCAAGGCGAGGGGTAAACATTTGGAATGGATGTATAAATGGCGATAAAGAAATATTGCGGAGATGGTATCAAGAAAAGATATCGTCGAGAGCTTTTGTATACAGGTAGGTAGATTAATATGATGAATTTTACGGTAACAGATGATATTGACATGTAGAAGGTTGGTTATCGAACAATAGATGTAGTGAAATGGTGGAACAAATTTGTAACCCACAGAAAGAGCAGAGAGTCTCGACTTTACAGCGATTCACGGTGCAATTCCGGCACATATAAAATCCAAGGCGATAATATGTAATGCCTCAAATCAAGTGAATATAATACAAAATAGGAGGCATTTGAAATCTTGTTATCCAGAGCGTAAAGACGACAAGTGTGTATATTCGCTCAAGATGAATATAATATTGTAAAATATTTAGTATAGTAGCATACCATTCAAAGACGCTCTGGGATACTTCTTTTGTCAGTTTATATATCAATTCAGTAATATCATTCTATGTTTCTTTGCGCGCCTATCTTCAATGCTCAGTTGGTTACCTTCTATTTTGAAAGAGAGATATCTCACATCTCTGTCGTTTAAGATGTTAACACTGCGCTCTTGTTCTAAATTCGTAGGAGCTTGTATTTTTGATAATACCTAGGATGTCCTTTCTCTTTTAGTAGAGAGTGATTAGAACCTTCGCCTTTGAAAGAATTGATTCGACGACTTGTTTCCATTTACTTGTAGTTGCTCAATATGAGCGATAGCATGTATTCTTTTCCTCAATAGGACGACCATAACTTGAGGATCCAATAATGGAACTGCAGAGGCTGGCGGCGAGAATAGTTTGCCTGATCGAATGAAGTAGACAAATTTTGAAGTCCAGGGATGCGAGGAGAATAATGACCCCTCCGCTACAGGATATCGACAATTCGCTCCACGTGCATCTTGATTATATTTAATAACTGCCACACCTGTTTATCGACTTTTTTTTGCCAAGGAACTATTGAAGACTAGACATGTTTGCTACTTTAGGAAGTGACAGTGGACCCTCAGTCCATTTATTTGAAATCCAAGAAAATTTTGTAAAAATTTGATTATCCATTGCTTGAATTCCTGCAATCATACCAACCTCATTCACTGTTGTTTTTAAGCAGTTCGAAATTGAAGTCATTCGCAAGTACAGTATTGAGTTGTCGAATGGCCTCTCTATGAACGAAGAGGCTCTGCTCTCGAAAAGGAAAGCATGTGTATCTACCGCTCCCTTATTCTAGAAACCTAAATTTAGCTAAAATGATATATTCGTGTTTTTGTCTAATTGAATTATGGGGAATGCTGAATGATTGGTTAAAGTTTCGAGATCTACTGGTGATCACCGTCGTCAAAATAAACTCAACGCACTAGCGAGGAGGCTCCGCTTAGTCGTGGGTACATCAAAATCGAGATTCAATCGTTCTTACAACCCCAGAAATGAGATAAAATATTCTTTTGAGATTATTTCGACTGTCAATTGTTACTTCAAAACTTCAGAATGCATTATCGAGGTTTGATCAACTCAATAATATGGATTGATTTTACATCTCAGTCATTACGAATTGTTGTGTGTTTTTCAACAAGACTACTTTGACTAGCACCAATAAAGCTAGATCTTCTAATACCATGAAGTCACTCTTCACACATCAAATTATTACTTGTTCCGCTTAACTTTCTACGAGAAATTGAAGTGGAGTGATGGAACGAGATAGAATCATCACACAAACAAGATGAATATTGGTGAACGTATTGTTCCAGCGACTCCTGAGTTTATTAAACAGCAAAGACAAGGTGCGAGCATATTGAAGATAGTAGAGTTAAATTCACCAAGAATCATGCACAAGACAGGCGTATGATATGTCTCTCGATATCATTGAGCTTGAAGGATTGTGGATTGATTCTTTGCGAGTTCATTTGTATGATGAGTAATGACGTTTTTGAACATCGAGACTACCATGGTGAGTGAGGGAATGAGTTTCACAATAAGAATTCAAAAAGGGATGAATATGGTTGAAAAATTCAGTGTCCAGAAAAAGTAAGGTAACTTTGAATTGTACTGGGGTAGATTGTAATGTAATTGGCATATCACAGTGGCTCGTAAATCCGTTTTGATCAAGGAATTCAAATCATTATACGCAGACCCTATCGTATGAGGGTAAGATACAACCGTCAGATCAAATGAACTGCTAGATCATACCCATCTAATTGACTTTTTGGATCGTCCACCGGTCATATCATTAATGGTACGTGGGGTAGTACCAATGAGATGATGGATCCCAACTGAACTCTTAAGTTCGAACTTTACATACTTTGGTATGTATCGTGGGATACTCATCCAACAATGGAGAGATTTACTTTGCTTGAAAAATAACTATAAGATGATGATCGTGACTTGATCATCGTACCGAGTCCTATAGGATAGATCTTGATTGTTGAAAAGTTAGTAATAATATGGTATTCAACATGGGGCTAAGACAGTTAAGCTTTCGCTACAGTATACACGTTGATATCGTCGATAGAGCTAGGCATCAATGGCTCAATGATCTACGTACCTACCGTACAAACGAGTTACTTAGAATGTTCATGTCCATTTAAAAAGCTGAAGCCCCCCCCGGATTTCATTTTTCCAATCATTAACATTCACGAACACAACACGATTCTACTTCTTCAACCTACTTCCACAACCTACTTTCAGAATCTACTTTCAGAATCTACTTTCACAACCTACTTTCACAACCACAACAGACAGATCATTCAATCACAACAAAGTAAGTAGTCAAATTCTACCCTACTCCTCGAGACACCGTCCTAGCAGTACAAATTCATCGACCCTTGCTGGTTATATCTCTTATCTTCAGATGAAAGCATAGGATTCTACTCCTATCTATCACTGACGTTACGATCTTCCCTGTAACCCAATAAGCGAATCTCCTTTAAATATCTACAGCTTTGCAATTGTGAAAAGTCTCAAATCGATCTGTCACCGCAGAGTATCTCATTAGCCGGTTTGACGGATCAGATTTGATACATCATCAATTCCATAGCCAGGGTATCCAATAGTCCGGACTGCAGTCCAACAATATAAGGTTTTGAATATCCAAAAGCTTTCAAAAGCTTGAAGATGGTTCAAAGTTCCAATCAAATTCAATATCTCAAATCGGTTGAATGTTCTAATTGGTTGTGAGGGATTTGATAACCTTCATTGTTGGACTACAGTCCTGACTATTGACACTCACCATAGCTGTAAACATTTTGGAATACGCGTATCCATCAATGAATACTGTAGTCTGATCTCTTATATTATCTGATATGTCGAATACAGGCTGACAATTATTGTACTATAGAACCTCAAATCCAACACTAGGCATTAATTCTTTCAAAATGACCGACGTTTCAGCCGACCAGCAACTCGAGAGCCTTTTGATGTGGATGACGACAAATCCTGTATCCGATTCTGAGGCTATTTGGATTGAGGATTTACGCCAAGGACGGGTAGTCCCTACAGCTAATGATCAATCTGATACAATTAGCTGTCAAGACACGATCTCCTATCGGGGATCCCCTACACCAGAGGAGGCCAAACTACCATCGCCACCTACAACGCTTTCCGAGTCAGATGACTCAAAAATTAGGTCCGGCGAAGCAGCTGCTTCTCAACCACCCGGCCACAAAGTTGAGAAACGGGAGCGGGGAGTCGAGGATGTCAGTAGTACCACTACTGCACCTCTGGCCAAAAAGCCCCGCCAAAGAGCGAAGAAGACCCCTGCCAAAAGGCAAAAATCTTCCGCAGCCAAGATCCCATTGACTGCGGAGCAAAAAAAGGCAGCTAGGGAGGTCAAGGCTGAGGAGGAGCGCCAACTTTATCAGAAACAAGGCTTCAAGCCTCGGGTTAGGAAAGAGCTCGAAGTCAAATTGGATGCAATTGGCGTTCCACTACCAGCCGAGGGACTCCCGGAGGAACTGACGGTGGTCGAGAGGAAACCCCGCGCTCCCCGAACCAAGCCAAAGCAAGAAAATCCTTGATCACAGATCAGGAGATCGAAGCTGATTTGGTTTGGATGTGTGGTGGTTTGGATTGGATAATGCGGCGTTTGGGAGGTTTGATAATGCGGCGTTTGGGAGGTTTGATAATGCGGCGTTTGGGGAATTTTATGATGCGGCGTTTGGGGGGGGGAGGGGGTTCTTTTTAATTGTATTTGTTTGAATGGGTTGGTTGGTCTTCACTCTAAATGCGACGTGTTCTCAAGGTATATGATATGCAAGGTTAACTTCGGATATCATGGGTGCTTGAGACGCAGAATTCTTTCTCAATACAGCGTGCTGATCCCCGGTCAGCCGTTGATACATGTTGAGAGTAATAGAGTTCTGATACGTGGCGGATATTGTGAGGGCCAGCCCTGGAGGTTCATTCTTCTTGCTCGCTCATGCGAGTGGCGCAGTTTGAATCTGGGTTTGTTCTGACTTTCAGGTCAGAGCAGGCCAGTCTTTGGAAGGATGATGGGGCTTTTTTAATTTGGTGATGTAGGTTATTTTTAACTCATTATCTTTACTATTTGACTTCATTATGATGGGTGAAATGTGAATCTAAGCTTTGATTTTTATTAAGGCATGAAGCCTCTTCATTACCTGCTCTTGATTTTCAGACGACATGTGATCAACCTGGACTTATAATCCCTAAATCCGGAAAAGAGATATCATTAAGCCTACCTATATCAATGACTTACCATTACTTCTCTATACCCAGCATAATTCCCATCAAAATATTCGAGTCCACTACAGTAAACTAAAACTATCCACCGAGCTCTCAACCTCTCAACGCCCTCATCTAAGAGATATCATAGGCAGCTGGAGGTAATCTAATCTATATTTGAACAAACCAATCCTACCGCAACCAGCGAAATGCATATCAAACTTTTAAATCCACTTCTAGCACTTTCCATAGATACCAATTAATCCACCCACCCATTCATCCATTCATCCATACCTCCACAAAACATATTCTTATGTTCAACTCCATCTCCAACCATGAATGAAAATCCATTCTTCTCCGAATATAATAATTATACACATTTAGTTAACGGGGTGCCGCCCAGTACGTTTTTTTATATCTCAAGGTGATGCCTCTATCGTTCATCATTAGTATTATTATACTAACAAAACTTCTCTGGAACTGAGATTTACTACACAAGGAAAGGAACATTTTAATACCACTCAAAGGGATTTTCTGGCTTGAATTCCCACTTAACTTATCACAAACCTGATGGTAGAGACAATGACTAGGTTTGTAAATACATCCCGGAAGTGTCATTTCCAAACAGAAGCTTGCTCCTGCTGCTAAAATTGGGAAATGTCAGGCACGATGGCTGTTACTTTAATTATTAATGGATTTTATAAACGGAAGGGAGCGTGTATCATATTCTATTTATCGGTCTACCAATGAAATCCTAGGTGGACATTTTTTCAAGAGCAGAGATCATGGAAGCGTAGATAATCTGACAGCACAAATTCATATGACCATCAGTTTCCAATTCTTAGCTAAGAAATAGTCTGTTATTTACATAGGTTCACGTGTATGGAGACATATCAATTTGAAATCGTAATTTTATTCATAATTTTCCGAGGGCATTGAAGTTGTTTGAGATACACTCTTCTCTTGGTCCTTTGCAAAGGTACCTGCCACTATCAATGGGAAACAGGCAGTTGCTTCAACATAAACCTTGACACTATCAGCTCCAACTTTAATTTTTCCCCAACTAACTGCTTCATCAGGTCTTGCTCCAGCATCACTTCCATCGAATTCTTGCGCAGTATTGATGTAAACTGCGCTCTCGGCACCATTTCTCATCAGACAGGCATTTGCAATGTGATGTTTGACTACACCTCCACCTAGAATAATCATTCCTGCTCGCTTGGCTCGTACAGCCATAGTATTTATCTTGCGAATATCTTCAACAAGATCCACACGAAGTTGAGCTGGAGAGGATTTGAAAGTGTGGAAGTAAAGCATATCGCCTAAGGAACCATCGGTAAGTGCCGGGCAGAAAATAGGGATGTCATTCTTGTAGGCCCAATAAAGTAGTGACTCTTCATTATTGATCTCTTTGCCCAATCTTCTGATGATTTTACTGGGGGTCCAGTGAATGTGATTGTCAGTGTCGGGATCTTTTCTCGATTCTTCTTGCTCAGCAAGCATGGTGTCGAGAATGGGCATTACCCAGTCTTCAAATGCGCAATAGTTGTTATTGGGAACAATAAGATTTCCAATACGGTTTTGACCTTTGGCACGTAGCTCAGCTCCAGGAGTAGAGAATGAACCCATGTAGGTGGGACCAAGACATTTAATGATATCTTCTTCGACACCACCGGCAGTGGTGACGATTGCAGAAATGTGACGATGTTGAGCGAGATAGCGAAGAGTACCACGAAGTCCACTTGAGATCAAATTTGAAGTATATCCAAGAAAAATGGTGGTACGATCTGTTGGTTCTGGACCACGCCATGCACGCTAGTAGTGTTAGGTTTTGTAGAAATGATGAGAGAGGAATGACGTACCATATCATTAATTATTCGAACAGCTTCACCAATGGAACTTGCTTGAAAGCCCATATTATTCATACCACTCAATAGATCATCAACGGTTATCGGGCGCCCAGCAAATTTGTTAAAGTCGAGCTCTTCGACTTTTTGTGCATTGACTGGCATTTCGTTTGAAGGGACGAGAACTGCATCCATGACGGAGGATGGAGGTGCTCCATCGGAATTGGATGTTGAGGCCATCTCTGGGCTTTCTATTATGAATATGCTGGTATCGACTGTGATAGAGAGAGATATACAAAATCAAATTCCAAGAAGTATTAATGAATATGTTGTGTTCATGTATATTTTTATATGTCTTGGTCAGGAAATGTGATCAAAAGTTTTGATGCAGGGAGAAGCGATTTGTGGCCCGTGCAACGCATTAACTTTTAGTGGCTCGATTGAAGTGTTGAAATTTTATTCTCCACCAAGAGTCTATGCGCCCTCGTCAAGCCACATCTTGAATGATTAGCTAATATTCCATCCTATGGAGCATTTTTATATTGTGGCTGAATAGTGGAGCACACAACTTGTGCGACTTCATAGGATTAAATCGTTGCGGGGAAATGTTTAAATGCTTGTAGATACCTAGGTACCTGTACCTGCTAGGTAGGCAGGTAATGGGTTTTCATCAGTGTGGGATGATCAAAAATTATCTAGAGTGCAGATGAATCATCCAGTATTTACTAGGTAGCTGGATTCCTAAAGTATGATTTTATTGAATAAGGAACATTTTACTATCAATCCACAAAAATTAATTAAATAGTATCAATTGATTCCTTTTGAAAACAATACAAGTGTAGCTAATCACATGATAACATCCGAAGCTAAGCTCAAAAAACCCTGAGGCTGAGGTCAAAATTCGAGGCTATAAAACCTTGAAGGATCGGACCGCAAACAACGAGATTTGATTGGTCAAACCTTTCGAGCCAAGTCGAACTATATCGGTCGTGCTGCGGGAATGAACAATTGCGGCAACCTCAGTATTCGATCAAATCCATTTCGCATGCTTCTCAAGATTCAATACTGCGCCAGCGACAATACTCAGCGCTGTCATTCAACATCAACACCCACCGCTTACGCTTTTGCCATTATTTTAGTATCCATTTGGTGAACAGCAGCGCCAGACCAGAGTCGTAACTGCAGTGGCTATACCGATAAATACCAGGTAGTCAAGCGCTGCGATACCGACTAAAGAAGGACGACAGGGACTGGGGATTGCTACAAATTGTAGTCTTCCCCTTTTGTAAATCTCATCGCAATGTTTGTCGCTTCAATGATTACTATATGAAAATTGATTCTAACCTTAATCTTTCAGGACTCGACCACACACATCACCTCGCGCCCGCTCTCCAGTGGATCGATCTCCAAGACGATATCTCGACTCCCGCGATTCCGATACCTATAGAGGGGCTGCGCGCGGCGGCGACAGGCGCCGATCGCCATCAAACTCAAGAGCGAACACTGCCGCATTCAATCACAATCAAAATCGAGAGCTTTTCTCAGATAGGCATACACTTTCACGAGATACAAATCGAGATTCATCATTACGCGATCCTCCTCGAGGACCACGGGCTGGATCCAAAAGTTATATCGACCCCCCAAGCGGCCCTAGAGGCAACAGTTTTGGCGATGGATATCGAGGTGATTTCGGATATCGGGGTGATTTCAGAGGTGGCAGAGGTCGTGGTCGCGGAAGAGGTAGCTGGCGAGATGAGAGTAGAGACCGCGATCGGGATCGAGATCGAGATCGAGAGCGTGGCCGAGAGATAGAAAGAGAAAGAGACTATAGAGATATTCGAAGAGACAATAGAGGACCTTTAGTGCCGTTTCGCGATGATCGAAGCCGTGATCGAGAATGGGGTGGTCGGGACAGCTTCAAAGGGCGAAGGCCTTCATCTCCTCTTGGTAGAGGAAGATCTCCTAATTACAATAGTAGAGATACTCGTGACGTACCTTCAAGCCTAGACCTTGATCGTGCTCGAAGAGGCTCACGAGACGGTCCAATGTCTGTTACCTCGCCTTCGTCCGAGTCATCTCAACCATTTGTTCATGGTTATGGTAGAGCAAGAGGAAATGGATTAGCACGTGGACGTGGACGACCTTATAACTACGATGAACATTATCATCGAACTCAAGTCCGCAGTAGATCTCCTGAACCGAATTTTCCACGTAGAACTCAACCATCCGCAAGTAAGTCTCACAATCTAATTACTTTTCCTGTTCTTGGCACTTCAATTGGGTTCCTGTGCATGTTTCAACATGTGTGTTCTATGTATGATGCTGACCATCTGAAGCCCCTCCTCCTCAAGTTCCTGCATTTGGTTCAACTGGAGCATCGGTCAGTGAAAGTCCTGTACCTGGTGTATCGGTCCCAACTGCGCCCCGTTTTCTTGCCGGCCGTGGGGCTCCAGGCAGCCTCTATGTTCCTGCAAAATCTATAGTTC